TGGCTTCCTATCCCATTGACACTGTGCGTAGAAGGATGATGATGACTTCTGGAGAAGCTGTGAAGTATAATAGCTCTTTGCATGCATTTCAAACAATCGTAGCAAAAGAAGGTACCAAGTCACTCTTCAAAGGCGCTGGTGCAAACATATTGCGTGCTGTTGCAGGTGCTGGTGTGCTTGCTGGTTATGATAAGTTGCAGCTTATTATGTTCGGAAAGAAATACGGGTCTGGTGGGGGCTAAAATGATGACGACAATTTCCTAGGATAATCATGTTTCCCATTTGGAATAATTTTGAATGAAAATATTGGTATTTTGATATTTTCCAAATTTAGGACCGTGAAACAAAGAAATCACAATTTTGTGAACAAAATTCTTCATTTTGGTTGAGAAAATGAGACTATTGTCTTGATTGCTAGTGTGATGGCATGTGATTGTGTCCCATGAAAGTTGTTATATCTGAGTTTGCTTGATGTTTATGGACATGAATACTCTTTTATAAGAAGATATTCCTTCATAAGAAACAATTGATATACAAATTGCTTCTATATTGACATGGTACATAATAATATATCTACGAATTGCCTCTTTAGGTTTGTATGTTTGGTTTAAGTGATCCTTAATTAGAATCACGTCAACATGACAAGCAAACTACTCTAATGAGGTAACTATGTCTTTCACCTAGACAACCAAAGCTTCAAAGACCGTTGAGTGACTTAAAAGTAGTTTTACATTAGGATCTATGGAAGTATTCTTGCGTAACAATCAAACATATCATATTTATAAGAAGTTCAAAGCTTACTATGGAGAAAACCATAATATCTTGAGTGGATGATTGCACAATTTCAATGTAGAGAAAATATATAAATAGACCTAGGTATTTAGTTTAAAATTAACTATGGGATGAGACTTGAGACAAAACATCTGATCAAGATCATCACTAATGGTGGCAATATCAACAACGTCTACAAAGGAGTCATATCAAACTCAAGAAACATCTAGAGTTTGGATAGAGAAAAGAGGTGAAGGGTTAAGTGATCAACTTAGGAGTCATACCAAACTCAAGTCCAGGTGAAATGAACAAACCATTTCCAAGGACATTACTTCAAACTATAGAGGGAACATCAAAGTCTATTCGGAGAAAATCTAATAGTAAAAATATTATCTGTATTTATAAAATTTCTGCCTCCTATCAAATTTATTACAAAATTTAAAGTATCAAAAAATATTAACAGATAATATAAACTTATCACAGGATGATAATAATAATAATATATTATTTAACAAGATCTATACTATATTATGTTGATATATTATATAAAAGATATTTATGATATCAACATGTTATATAATTAAACAATCTGAATTTAAAAATATATTTTGGACTATTTTTTCTTCCACTCACATTTTTTTCTTCTTGCGTTCCATAAGATTTTAAATCCTGCATTTTCCTTATGAAAAAAAAAACAGAGTTCAATTAAACGTTCTTCTTCTTCGATAGTGTTCTGATAGGGGTGGCTGCTTAATTTTGTTATTTTTTTTTTTCAATTCCGGATTAGGTAAACTGGAGTGCATTACTAGATCTGGAATAAATACCTGATTAATCGGGAAGGTTGTAGTGGAAACTATTACGGTGGAATGCATTCCTTGATTACACAGTATTTGTTGATTTAGGTGAGTAGTAATTTTTTAAAATTATGTGATTATAATAATTTATTTTATATAATATTTAATTATATAGTATTTATTTTTTATTCTCGTGAAGACTATTTATTAGATGTAGGAACAACACAAGTTCAAGAGTCACACGGGTCAGATGTGGATCAATATGGTTCTTATAGAGCACCCTTAAGAGCATGGATGAGGACTTGGCAAAACTATCAGATTCTGAGGATCCTAAGAGGCATTGGTTGTAGCCTTCAACGAGTGAAGTATTCTGGCAAGGTGTATACGAGAGAGAGACAGAAAGAGAGAGAAAAGTTTAAGACACAAAGAGAAGGAAAAGAGAAAGCAAGAGAGCATAGAAAAACAGAACATAATGAGGAAACGTCATGCCTACAAGGGATCTCGGTTGAGATTAAAAAAATTAAAAACACTCTGCTACCTCGGTTGTTTGTGAACCGAGACAGAATCCGAACCCTTTTGCCTCAGTTCAGAACCAATGCAAAAAGCCTACCCCTTTTTGCCTTGCCTGTATATGCTTTGGTTGCGGAACCACTGCCTATAAGCGAAAATAACTGCTGTCATTTCCCTTGACTGCACTAGTGATAACAGCTCCTACAGCCTACCTGTAGCCGCTCCTATAGGATGTTTGTAGCCTCCCTTACATATCATCTGTAATCTCCCTTACAAATAATTTATAGTCTCCCCTACAGATCTGTTCGAATAGTTCCGCAATCTAGCTAAGAAACATGTAGTCCTGCCATACAAGGACAAGGAACACGCCATTACCCTACACAAGGAAGGCTCAATACCCGAACATTCTGATTTCAAATTCACTATTTTTCACTAAAATGCACTGTGATAATCTATTATCACTTAAGATAATCGATTATCTCAGTGAAATTTACCCAAAAAACATTATGCAAGAAAAGATAATCGATTATCATCCCATATAATTGATTATTCCCGAAACTACACTCAAAACCAACGTATATATAATCAATTATAACTAATGATAATCGATTATTGTCGAATATAAATGCATGTTGAACATGATTCAAGCATTCAAATATACATACATACTTAACACATCATACATGCATTCAAACATCACATCCCCATGTAAACATACTCAAACCCATATAATACATCACTTGAATAATTCGAATCCAATCATTGACATGTTATACCCAAATAAACCCAATTATACTACATATGATTGTTATCACACCCTTATTAATGGGAAAAATGGCCAAAAATAATAGCAACTTAACAAATAGTAATAATGCAGTGGAAATTCAATTCACCTTCTTGTAAGAATCTCGGAGGAGCACCAAACAAATAGAGCAAAAACATAATCCAAAGCACAAAGAGACACCAACATTTTATAACGTAGAAAACCCCTCAATGCAAGGGTAAAAACCACAAGTCGTCCAAACCAAAGAAAAATCCATTGTGATCAATAATATGATGCAAAAGAGTCTCCAATAAAAACACCAAATGGGGTTTTCAATCAACCAAACTAACTAAGCATAAAGGCTTACAAATGAGAACAAAGAAAATGAAAATTCTCCAAAATAGAGCTGCTTATGCGAGGCTGTTTTCTCCCAAACTAGAAATTCGGTTGACGATTCGAACGGTCAGAATGAAGAACCATACGTTTGGAACCCAGTGTCCAAAAATCAGTCTGATCCAACGGTGAACGACTTCACAAAGACTAAAACACCCGTGAAGATTTTGTGTTATGCAGGAATGATTTCTTCTTTTCCTTTCTCTCTCACTTAGTTTTTCCCTCTCTTCAAATGACTCTAATGTTTCTACGAATTTGACCCATTTCCACTAAAACAAAGTGAGAAATAATGGTCCACGTTATTTGGCCTATTCTCCGCATAGGAAGGGAACCCAATAACCCAACACTTACAACATATACTTGCATAGAAACCCCCAAGCATCATAACTTTGTTCTTTCTTAGCATCAAATATGTTGGGATAATCCAATAAAACATACATAATACATTCATAGGAAAAACTCATCACACATATTACCCAAAACCTATTCTCATGCTTACACAAACCCTTGTCCAACAATAACAACAAATAATTATAATCATAATCATATAACACATATTAAACAAGTATTTTCATGCAAATAAATCGAGAATGCATAGCATACAACAAACAGTGGTAAGCTTCCCCATACCTTGGCCAATACTAGAGTTTTGTTTAATTTCAAAAACACCACAAATCCTCCCTTGCATTAAGGTTTTTTTGTAACTCTTCCTCTTTTCTCCTAGAAAACGTATTTTCTCTCCCTTATCTTTCTAATTTTCGTTTTTTTGATATTAGGGTAACAAAATGCAAACCCCTATTTGGTATTCTCCTTTTTATCTTCTTCTATTATATTTCAAGTTTTAATAAAATCTTTTAATTTATCTTTAAAACCACTCATATTTCCTTTTTTATTATCTTTTATCTACTTTTTAAAATATCATCAACCACCAAATCTTTTAAAATCTACGTAATCTTTTAAAATATCTAACAATATCTAATAATGATTATCTCTAATAATAATATCTCTTTTAATCTTTAAACCCACCAAAATTATATCTCTTATTTTTATTTAACTAATTTTTATGATAACAATAAATAAATCTTCTAAAAGATTTACATAATATCATTTTATTAAATATCTAGATTATTTAATTTGCATGTTTTTTCTTTCTACACATTCTTAGTTAATTTTTACACCAATTAAATAAAGGTAAACAACTCTTTTACTTCTAGACAAAAATATAAAAATAAAAAATAACATAACAATTATGTTCTAACAAAATATTAATTTTTAAATAAAAACCTAAAGTGTCAAAATTACTTTAAACAAAAATATAAAAATAAAGAAATAACATAAAAATTATATTTTAAAAAAACACTAATTTCCAAATAAAAACCTAAAGTGTCAAAAACTACTTTACTTTTATAATCCTGTTTTTCAGATCTTACAATTTACATTAAAATACAACTAAAAACATTTTTTTTAATTTCAAAACACTGATTTTTATACGAAATAAATATAACCTAATTCTAGAATTTTACTAACTAATTCAAACTAAAATAAAATATTTATAAAAGAAAAAAATTGGAGTATTAACCACCCACTTACAAATATTAAACTTATTTATACAAATATATTATATTTTAAATTTATCACTATTAAAAAGTAAATTAAAGATATAAAGGTTTTTATAAAGATAGAAGATTAAAGTTTTTTGTTAAACCAATTACGCTTAATAATTAAAATATTTGAAAAAATTGTTTCTTATGTTGTCCCTCTTCTCCATCCATATTATATATACTGGACTCGCATGTCCTTCACGCCTTACTTCTCAGTTCCCTACTCAATATATATTCAAATCCGTGGTCACTCTCTTCTATTCCTTCTCTTCAGGTTACTTGAATTGACCATGGTGAGTTTCAGCAAACCCTAATCATATCTTCAATTTCATAACTGTTTAATCTCACCATCTTCTTCTAGGGTTCCTTCGTTCCTTTAATTCTTTTAATGTGTTGGTTCCAATACACGTTTTGCTCTGCCATTCATCACTCTTTCTTTACTTTCATGTTGTTTTAAAATTTGAACAGTCGGGCAGAAAAGAAACGGTTCTAGACCTTGCGAAGTTCGTAGACAAAGGCGTTCAAGTTAAGCTTACTGGTGGAAGACAAGGTTAGCTTACTCAATTCCCTCTGTCAAATATTATTATTATTTTTTTAAATTTTGACTCGGGTGATTTTTTATTTTTTCCAAATGTTAGTGATTTATTCACTGGTTGTTTAAAATGAGCGAGATTTCTTTCGGTTGTAAATTTCGAGTATTCGATTGAGAGTTCTTTTATGACTAAGATGCAAGAAAACTCTTTCACATTTGTATTTTTTGTTTACATTTTATTTTGTTGGATTGCAGTTACAGGGACTCTAAAAGGGTATGATCAGTTACTTAACCTTGTCCTAGATGAAGCAGTGGAGTTTTTAAGAGGTAACTGAATACTGACAGGTTATTGTTTTTCTTTTCTATTGCATGTTTAGCAACATATTTTCCGCACTAGCTATGTGCATCCGTTATTCTGTTATTATGTTATTGACTTCATACATGCACTGAATTTCCAGCTATTTCAGTAAATATTGGTGCAGCCTGTTTGTTATTGTTGATTTATTGTGGAGTTGCTTGATTATTATTTCTTTACAAAATCACTAGTTTGCTCTTTAGAAAATCAGTGAGAACTAGTGAGACTTTTGCTGAGAGATTGAATTAGCAATGACCAAGGTTTTTAATTGGGTGGGATGTTGAGTAGTAGCGATTTTTATTGTTGTGGGAAATAGAGAATAAATGCTGTTGATACGGTTGCAGTTGTGGTCATTATGTGGTTGCGGTGCCAGTCACTGCAAAAAACTTGGCTTTGCAGCTAAAATCTCAGTCACAGACTGTTTTAAAAAAAACCTTGGAATATCCTTGAGTAAGGAACTATATAGCTGCAGATTAAGGGCGTAGTGCCAAATCTTTAGTGTGTTTGGTCGTATCAATAATAAAAAATTATGATTTAGGGACGAAGTTTTAGTATCGAATAACATAAGCATCAGAATGTAATATCTGAAGATATTTGAAATTATTCTGACTTTAATTAAGCCCCGGATTTTCTCATATTTCTTTATTTTCTGATTGAACTCAGCATCGTTTTATTTATTATTGTTTCCGTTTTAATGAATCCAAAATTCAAAAGGGAACTTCCATACAGAATTTGTTCATTACAGTGCAAAGCGGAATGCTTATAGTCCTAGATGGACATCACATGTCAATAAAACTATACTTATAATTATATGATTATGTGTCAAAGAAGCTGATTTAGTTTTCTCAGTTTATATGCTTGTGTGACTCTACTATGAGCATTATGATTTAGTTTTCTTAAAAATTATTTGTCTCTTCTCTTCTGGGTTCTAATAGAAGATTGTATTTGTTCCTTGTGCTTCAGATCCTGACGATCCTCTCAAAACTACCGATCAGACCAGACAACTTGGCCTAATTGTAAGTTTTCTTCTGCAACATCAAATGAGTGTCTAAATTGGATCCTCTGGCTCACCAAAGATTGCTAATAAATCATGCTGAAAATTTACACAACATGCATGAGTGTTAACGTGATATTTAACTTTTATTTGTTAGAAATACATTTAATTAATTGATTAGAATTACACTTCAAGCGCATGGGAGAGATCAATTATATCCTTGCAAAACATAAGCAACCGTCTTCATTTTCTAACATCTATATATTTGTCTGTCTCCTCCCTTGATCCCTTAGTAGGTTCTGATTGGAACCTAAACAATATGGGGAAGTTTTAGAGCATCTCATCTAACTACATTAACAGAGGATTAGGAAAGAAGTTAAAATCCTTTCTAACTGTAATTTTCTTTTAAGATAGTAGGTCTTATATAGTAAAGCAATTGACATATTTCTTGCCATGTTAATTGTTTATTGAGAGTGAAAAGCTGTATTTTACTCTAATCAGTTTTAAGATGTATATGCTCATTATTTAAATTCTATAAACTTTGGAATGTGTAATGTCTCTAGTAGAAGTCTTAACTGAATGGTGGGATGGGAACTTAGGGTGGGGAGGACAAAAATATTGAAGGCGTGGGATGGTTGCACCAGTGACAGTCATATTTTCTTTTCATTTCTTGAGTATTGTCTTATCAGAGAGAGGAGTCTCGTTCACTGATTTCTCAGTTGATAGTATACATTACATTTTAATTTCTATCAACTTATCACAACCTGAAGCATTTTCTGCAAGGAAAAAGAAAATTGAAAATTCACATGACTATTAGAACTTGTACTCTCCACTAACTTTTTGAAAATTTCTAGCCATTTCTGTAAACAGAGTTTCAATTATTCTGGCTTAGCAATAAGTTGTTATGATTCATTAAATGCAGGTTTGTAGAGGAACTGCTGTCATGCTTGTGTCCCCAACTGATGGTACAGATGAAATCGCCAACCCCTTTATACAGCCAGATGGGGCTTAAATTTCAAATATTTATTCTCTAAGTTTCTGTGCTAGCTGATCAATACGCCATTACGTTGCTATTGAGCCATTAATGTGGAGATTCTGGCTAACATTTGTCTAATTTGTAAGCTTGGATAGTTTTTGTATGTTTTGAATTAATAGAATACCATACATTGCTTGAGAAGTTTATATTTATCATTGCTCACAAGTTGCGATTGCACTTAATTTATAAGCTTATGCAATCTTGTTAATCAATCTTACCACTTTCATGCTATCCAGCACTCTCTTACCCATTGTGAACCTGGCTACCGTAGTTTTATGTGCACAAGAGCACTATTTGTGGGCAAGCTTGTTTAACTCCTTAGAAGTTGTAAATAGCGGAAATTAAATTATTCATTGAAAAATTTATTCATATTAAATTAAATTAAATTAAGTTATGGCACGTTCAAGTATATCCCCTCCGGCCCTAAGACTTCTGTAATTAATTTAAAATAGTTGAGAAAAACTTTTGGTATGAGTCACTTCAATTCTCAAATTAGAATAATTTTTTTTATGATTTATTTCAAATAATTAATTAAAAGCACTATAGAAAAAAATAATTAATGCATTATTATTCAACTATAAAGGGGCTTTTAGAAAGAGGACACACAATTATTTTGAAAAGATCTTATTAACAAGGACGGATAGAGTGTTTCTACGAAATAAAAAGGGAAAATAATTAAAGGATATTTGAATATTTATGATGAGGATTTCATTCCTACTTCAAGACGTGATTCATGGCATACGATTTAAACTGAAACACTTCGTTCTTAGTACTATCTTGTAAAATTAGTTAAGCGAGCACTAATTTGTAACTTAACATGATTATTAAATTAACTATTGCTAATAGAATAGTTAAAGGAATTTTGGTTGCAATACAGCATATATTGTAATTAAACTGTTTGGAACTTTTATTCTGACACTGAACCTGTTTGGATGGGTATAAGAAATGGAATGGGCGGAAAGAACAAAAGTGATATAGGGAAAATATATAAAAAAAGAAGAAAGAAACCTTTCTATTTGTTTAGATAAATAGAAAAGGAGTGAAAAACTAAATTATAACAGTAACATAAGTTTGATTTAACCAAAATAGGATTAAATTCTTTACTGTATATTTTTTATTTCAATATTTTTAAATTATAATTTAACATTTATCTCTTCTAATTCTTCCAATATTGAAAAAAAAAATATATTTATATTTTGAAAAATAATTCATAGACACAAAAAAATGTTCATCACATTTAATATACACTTAAAATAGAGTAAAAGTGATAGGTTTATGGGTTATATGATGCAATTAAAACATATGAGAAAAAAAAAGTGTATAATAAATATAGTTAAAATGAAAGTAATTAATAAGAAATCATTTGTCAAGAATGTAAAATGTTATGGTTTAAGTTGTTTTATTGATGAAAGATTCTCATTAGACATTAAGATAATCAGGATGTTATTTAGATGTGAAGGTAAAGTTGTAGGAAAACAATAGAAAGGGGAAGGTTGAATAATGTTTTTATAAATTTTTTCGTGGCTAATAAGTTGATCATGAAATAAATGATCCTCATGAATTAGTTGTCTTTAACGTTATAAACGATATCCTATTGCGTGCGTTTATAGAACTAGCTTTAATTCATTCTTCTAGAGTTTGGTGAAGAATAAAACTTTTGTAAGATTGACGTGTGATGAGACCTCACTTTTCATATGATCTGATTGGTTCCAACACACAAGTATTTTATACTAGTTCACTCAAACAGAGCTATGTCAAGTTCTCTTCTAAGATAACTTTGAGGGTTTCGTTAGATATTCAATGAAGTAAATTTGAGTATTCTAACCACTCCTGGTATCCTTAGTCACACCAAGTAACAACTGTTATTTTGACTAGTTGAGTTTCACCCACTCCTGGTTATGTAGTATTCTTCACCACTCCTGGTATCCCTAGATGCTCTTGGTATCCCTAGATGCTCTTGGTATTAGCCTGATATTATGTCTATTTGAGTTTAACTCACTCCTGGTTGTCGTTGTACACCAGTAACCACTTGCTACTATGATCTTGACTAAGTTTCACCCACTCCTGGTTATGCAGTATTTTTCACCACTCTTAATATCCCTAGGCAATCATGGTTGTCCTTGTCAACCCAGTAACCACCTGTTATTATGACCTTGACTGAGTTTCACTCACTCCTAGTTGCGTAGTATTATTCACCCCTCATGGTATTCCTAGACAATCTCGGTATCCCACAATACATTGCCTAGTTGAGTTTAACCCACTCCTAGTTGTCCCTATCAACCCAGTAACCAACTATTACTATGACATGGACTGAATTTCACCCACTTCTGATTGCGTAGTATTATTCATCACTCTTGGTATCCTTAGTCAACGAATAACACATATAACCCTAACTAGTTGAGTTTCACCCACTCTTGGTTTATACTAGACACTATTGGTATCAACCTAATACACTGCCTAATAATCCTTAACTCTCATGAGTTAATCAACAAGTGTTTGAATTCTCTTCAGAATGTGCAATCAATCTGATTGCTTACAAGTCAACTGATGATTACTCTCATAGAGAGGCTATATGTTCAATACAATACAATTTATAGACTCTTTAACATATTTTCTCTTTTTTTTTCTTACAAAAGTAAGCTTATACATCAATGAAGCTTGAATTCTCTTTTTCTTTTATTGTGTTTTGAAACTGTTTTGTTCTTTTGATGTGTTTGCCAGACTCATTATTTTTATGGCGAGAGTCATCTAGTTTGGTTAAACCATATACATTTTCCTAACTGACATGTTTAGCACGATGTTTTCAATTACATCGTTTGAGACATACTGAGATAATATTATCGTTTAATCTATTATAAATTCTTTAAGCTCGACAATCTGTTATGTCAATACCCAATATGTTGGCCTCCAACAGGTCGACACCGAGCAGGTCAGTACCTATCAGGTCGACACTTATCATATAAGAACCCAACAACTCATCACCCATTAAATAGGCAACCAGTAGGTCGGCATCCAACAGGTCTAGAACAGTCCGATTATAAATCCTAAAACTTCCTAAGATTCACATATGTAAACTAAAACTGAAAAATAAAGGAAATAAAGATGTTAAAAGAGTTTAATAAGCTTCAACATGAGAGTATAGAAATTAGGTTATCAACCACCAATCTACTTAAGACCTCAGCCAAATGACCAATCTACTTAAGACATCGGCCAAAAGGCCAATCTACTTAAAGTTTGGCTAATGTCACATCTATTTAAGAGCTCAGTCGAATGACCAATCTACTTTAAGAGCTCGGTCGAACAACCAATTTAGGTAAAAAGCTTGACTGAATGACGAATCTACTAAAAAGCTTGACGAATGACCAATCTTCTTCAAAGCTAGGCCGAATGAGCAATCTACTTTAGAGCTCAACCAAATAGAAAATCTACTTTAGAGCTCAACCAAATAGCAAATCTACTTAGGAGTTCGGTTGAATGACCAATCTACTTAGGAGCTCGACCGAATGGACAATCTACCAAAGAGCTCAGGTTGGATGACCAATCTACTAAAGAGCTCAGTCGAATGTCCAATCTACTTAAGACTTGGGCTGAATCGCCAATCTATCTAAGACCTCTGTCAAATGGCTAATCTACTAAAGAGCTTTGCTGAATGGACAATCTACTTAAGAACTTGGCCAATGGACAATCTATCAGAGCTTAGCTTAATGGAAAATATACTAAAGAGCTCACCAAAATGGCTAATCTACTTAAGAGCTCGGTCGAATAACATATCTACTAAAGAGCTCAGTAAAATGTTCAATTTACTTTGAAGCTCGATCGAATGGTCAATCTATCAAAGAGCTCGGTTGAATGGACAATCTACTTTAGAACTCAACTGAATGGATAATCTACTTCAGAGCTCGACCGAATGGTCAATCTCTTTAAAGAGGTTAACTGAATGGCCAACCTACTTCAGATCATGGTCGAATGGTCCATATACTTCAAAGCTCGATCAAATGACAAATCTAATTCAGAGCACGATCAAATGAACCATCTACTTCAGAGTTCGACCGAATGGATAATCTATTTATGAGCTAGGCCTAAAGGCCAGTCTACTAGAAAGCTCACTCAAATAGTCAATCCACTTCAGTGCCTAGTTGAATGGCTAATCTACTTCAAAGCTCAACTGAATATCCAATCTCCTTGAAGAGTTCAATCAAATGACCAATCTACTTAAAGAGCTCAGTCGGATGGTCCATTTACTTTAGAGGTCGATCGAATGGCCAATCTACTTCAAAACATGGTTGAATGACTTACCTACTTTAAAGCCCGACCAAATGACCAATATACATACGAGCTAGGCTGAATGGTCAATTATTAAATTTCTCAACCGAAGGACCAATCTACTTAAAAGCTCGACCGAATGGCAAATCCATCTAAGGGCAAATGTCCAATCTATCTAAGAGCCCAGCCGAATGGTCAATCTACTAAAGAGCTCGGCCGAATGACCAATCTACTTAAGACGACGGTTGAATGGCCATTCTACGAAAGAGCTCAATCGAATTTCCAACCTACTTAAGAGCTCAACCGAATGGCCAATCTAATTTAGAGCTCATCCAAACGACCCATCTACTAAAGAGCTCTGTTAAATTACCCGTCTACTTTAGAGCTCTGCCAAATGATCAATATACTTAAAGAGCTTAGTTGAATGGTCAATCTACTTAAGAGCTCAATTGAATGGCCAATATTTCTAAGAGCTTGGTCAAATGGCTTATCTACTAAAGAGTTCAGTCGAATAACCAATGTACTTAAGAGCTCGACCGAATGGTCAATCTGCTAAAGAGCTCGACCGAGTGGCGAATCTACTTAAGAGTTCAGTTGAATGGTCCATCTTCTCTAGAGCTCGACCAAATGGCCAATCTACTAAAGAGCTAGGTCGAATGACCAATCTACTTCAAAGGTTAGTCGAATTGACAATCTACTTCAAAGCTTGGCTAATGGCCAATCCACTTGGAAACTCGTGGCAAAAGCATCATGAGCTCAGTTAAATGGCAAATCCATTTGCAAACACACCCAAATAGCCAAACCAATCATACGCTCATTTGAATTGCCTACCCATATTTAAATTTTACAAGTCGGCCTAAGCTCGACCAAAGATCAAGCACGATCACATACACCTAATCAAACTCGTGAGAACGGGGGTTATGTTCCTACCCAACCCAAGAGATGTTACAATGAGGAGCATTGGTGTCTTGAAGATAATGATTTTGATGATATTACAAAGTGAGGAATATGAAGACCCATATTGTATGAAGTTTAAAAGCATTTTTGTATAACATAAGATACCAGGACCGAGCAATTAAGACCGAACGGTAGAAGGCATGAACAAGACCAAGCAAGGCATGAACGAGACCAAGCGGTTGGACGGTGAAGTGGTGGTAGAAAGAATTGGTCATGGCAACCGAGCAGAGGCATGATTGAGACTGAACGGTCACAAACAGTTGAAGGCCGAACATAGATGCAAACCGAATGACGTATAACAAATGAAGGCCGAACACAGGACAAACATTGGCCGAACACAGTTCAAGACCGAACGATCACTAACAAACGATGACCAAGACCGAGTAGTCAGGACTAAGCAGTCGGGACTGAGCAATCAGGATCGAGCAGTTTGGACCGTGCGGTAGAGGGCATGACCGAGACCATGTGAGGTATGACCAAGATCGAGCAGTTAGCATCAAATGATGGAAGGCAGTGAGGAATCAAACCGAACGCTAGAAAGCTGTAAGAAACCAAGTCGAACAACAAAAAGTGATAAGGACTTGAGCCGAACAACAAAAGGTGATCGGGGCTCAAGCCGAACGGTAGGAGGAGTTGAAGAACTGAAGCCGACTGGTTTGAAGAGTAAATATTCAAACTGTTCCAAGTCTCACAGATAATCGATTGATAATCGATTATCACTGGCAGTTGAAATATGTCGTTTCAGTTTCAGACCAGTAGGCTATATATACACNTATAACAAATGAAGGCCGAACACAGGACAAACATTGGCCGAACACAGTTCAAGACCGAACGATCACTAACAAACGATGACCAAGACCGAGTAGTCAGGACTAAGCAGTCGGGACTGAGCAATCAGGATCGAGCAGTTTGGACCGTGCGGTAGAGGGCATGACCGAGACCATGTGAGGTATGACCAAGATCGAGCAGTTAGCATCAAATGATGGAAGGCAGTGAGGAATCAAACCGAACGCTAGAAAGCTGTAAGAAACCAAGTCGAACAACAAAAAGTGATAAGGACTTGAGCCGAACAACAAAAGGTGATCGGGGCTCAAGCCGAACGGTAGGAGGAGTTGAAGAACTGAAGCCGACTGGTTTGAAGAGTAAATATTCAAACTGTTCCAAGTCTCACAGATAATCGATTGATAATCGATTATCACTGGCAGTTGAAATATGTCGTTTCAGTTTCAGACCAGTAGGCTATATATACACTCTCTTTCAAATCCTTCAAAAGTAACTTTGTGATTTTGAGAATACAATGCAGTTTGAGGAAGTTATCAAGTGCTAGTTCGTTCTCATTGTCAAGTCTTGTGAATAGGAGAAGCTCGCGCTTTGTGTGTCAAAGGTCGGAGTGGTTCTCTTCAAGTTGGCTGAGCAGTTCACTTTCGATTTTTTTGTCGAAGGAAAGTTCTTTCTTTTCTTATTTGTATTTTAACTTATTTTAATTTGTGAACAATATTTTAGTGAAAAGGTTAATCACTATTTATAGTGATTAACGATTGGACGTAAAATCTTTTGATTTGAATCAGCATAAAAATCACGTGTGTGATTTTTCTACTCCTTACACTCTTTATATTTTCTACACATCAACTATTCGATAATATTTTTGTAAGAAAATTAAAGGAACCATTTTAATTGACCGAACACGTTTTCCGCAATTTTATTCCGCTACTCGACTCGAATATACTGATTGTTGGTACCAACAAGAGACATACTAAATGGTGCGACCCAATAAGGCCATTAAGCCTCTTCATATGGAGTTGCCCAAACTTACGTCTATTTGGATAATATCTACATAATCTTGGAAATTTGGTATTATTGTTATTATTTATTATTTTGTTATTATTAACTTTATTATTATTAACTCTCTTATTATTATATGCTTGAGGTAAGTATCATTTCAATGGAAACATAAACCCATGACTCATGTGGATCTTATAAATACAACTAGTATTTCCTAAGCAATACTCACTTTATAATTACTCATACTCACTATATTCATAAAAATCCTAAATTTTTTTTAGTAACTTAAACATTAGATAATCTTTTTGTGGGTGGATCTCTTCCTTTGAATAACAATGAATTTCCTATTGACCAACTAAAACTCTTATATCATTGATAGAATCTTGTCACATATTCATAAATTCACCTCAGTGATAAAACCCATTAAGATTAAGAATATTAAATTATTTTTCTTTATTTCAATTTTTAAGTATGATATAATAATATCATTATAGTCCATTATCAATATTTAAATTGTATGTTTTAAAATTCGAATTTTTTGTCATGATTTTATTGCGTTTAAAAATTGAAAATTAAAGATATATTCATTTCTTAAAATAAAAGTAGTTAATGTATCTAAACTCATTCTTTCTATACACTTATATAAACATGATAAATAAAACACATACTCAACTTGTTATCTAAACTTTACAATGATTGTACGTTTTACCCTTAAAAATCTTTTACATAAACAAACAAAAAAATATATAAAATAATAAACAAGGATCTTTTATTAGAAATAAATGTAACTCAAGTAAAAATTATTCATATATAGATCAAACTTTAGTTCTAAGACATAGTAATACCAGAAAATTCAAAGTCCAACATAAGTAACTAATTACTACACACATATGTTTTAAATTTTAACTCTTAGAAAAATAATAAACAGCAAGAAAGAACCAATTGATGAACATGACTCCTTCACATCGTTGAATGCTTTTTAAACCAGTAGGTAAAATGTGAGGATCATTCATGCTTAGATTAGTCTATGTTAAAATCATCAGATTAACAAGTCAATGGATAGAACTTAATCAGGGTTAAGGAATGACCCAAAAGGAGAGAAAAATTAACTTGGGTCCAAAAATTAATATTAATGTTTTTCAGTTTTTTTTATTATTATTAAGGGCGTGCTCAGAAGGAATCTCTTTAGAAGAAAAAAAAATTATAAGCTAAAATTATATTATGTGTTGTGAGCTAATAGACGCTGAGAAAATTTTCTTTCTTATTTTATGTGCAATTATATTTTATTATAATAAAAGGTTAAATATAATTTTCATCCTCAAACTACTATAAAAAAAATTATTTTGTCTTTAAACTAAATTATAAAACATTTAGTCTTTGTATTTTATGAAAATAATCAAAAGCATTCTTTTCAACAAAAATGAATAGGAAATATTTTTCATGTGACAAATGAAATTCTAATGTGAATTATAATATAAAATCACTATCTTATATCACTATCACAAAGTACATGATATACTTTATAATTTAGTTTAAGGATGAAACACATTTCTTTATAATAATTTGAGAATCAATAACAGATAAATACATGTGATTTCCTAAGTATGTAGAGCGCGTGGAGTTATTTGTATTTATAAATGAAAATACAAAAAGATAGACCTAAATTCATTATACCAAACACTCTTTCCAAGTTTATGCATATAAATAGTATGTTCTAAATTTGTTACATTGGTTAGAATAAAGAAGAAGAAAATAATTATTTGAATAGCTGCTATACATATCGAAAAGATTTAAGAATCTTAAGTTAATGTTTTACTCCATGATAAACTAGTGAAAGTAATGATGATTTGTTTGTGCAAGAGTTGAAGACAGTCTTGAAGCAGGGGTAGTTGCCACAGAGGACTTTGCACACTAATCTGAGACTAATCTTCAATTAACACAAAATTCTTTGTCATCCCTTTGGTTTAAAGAAACCCCTATTCTCATTTGATCCTCTAATTGCAGAGTTTCTTCTCTTGCTGTCCCTTTCCAACTCCACTCAAACTACAATGAAAATTACCTGGAAGGAGATAAGTCCTTGTAATGCGCATGGTCAAGTGCAAACAGAATCAAGAGCACTGTTGACTTTGTATCCAAGTACAAACCGTATCTGTCACCAATGCCATTATGTCTGCCATCTAGAAACTCATTGCTACAGAAACAACCTAATACCCCTACTACATTCTTTCGTAGGTTTTAGTAACGGTTAACCGTCACTTTTAACAAGTTCTTGTCATAGTTTCCCATCTTTGGATTATTCCATTCTCTAACCATCTTGCTTTGTACTAATCTCAAACGTGAACAAGACAACATGATTAAGCACAAGACTATGCTTTCTCCTCTCAAAGCCACATAAAAGAGTTCTGAGTTTCCTTTCTATACACTCTGAACCAATCAGAAAATATTCTAAGTATGACTTTCAGTATATCTATTTTAATTGACAAACTTATTTTATATGTATGTATAAGGTAGTTTATAATTGGAGTGTGATGGCATAGACCAGAGAATTCTCTTATTTATTAGCATATATAGTGATTCACTCATTAGCCATTCTTTGCCATAGTCTCTAAAAGCAATGGCTTCAACTTCAGCATCTTGTTCCTTTACCATTAGTGTGTTATTCCTCATTTTTGTGCACCTGTCTTGTTTCGCAAACAACCTTAATGCAAAGCACAGTCACAACCATCGCAAGCCTCAACACACTGAAAATCCTCCCTTGAATCCAAGACTTCACATGGCCTTTCTTGGCCTCCAAGCATGGAAGCAAGTCATCTACTCAGACCCAAATAACTTCACTGCCAATTGGGTAGGTCCTTCAGTCTGCAACTACACAGGTGTGTACTGTGCTCCCTCAGTTGATGATCCTGAAGTGAGAGTTGTGGCTGGCATTGACCTTAACTTTGGAGACATAGCAGGGTTCCTACCCGATGAAATAGGCCTTCTGTCAGACCTTGCACTCCTTCACCTTAGTAACAACCGCTTCTGTGGCATTCTGCCAATGTCCTTAACCAACCTCACTCTACTCTATGAGCTTGATATTAGCAGCAACAGGTTTGTTGGTCCCTTTCCTTTGGTTTTGCTTTCCCTTCCTATGCTCACCTACCTTGACCTCCGCTACAATGAATTTGAAGGGCCATTGCCTCCTCAACTATTCAACAAAACCTTTGATGCCATTTTCCTCAACAACAACCGCTTCAGCAGTTCTATACCTCCAAACTTGGGCAAAAACTCAGTTTCTGTCTTGGTCTTTGCCAACAACAAATTTGGAGGGTGTCTTCCAGAGAGCATAGTGAACTTTGCTGACACTTTGGAGGAGCTTGTGCTAATCAACACTAGCTTGTCAGGTTGTTTGCCACAGCAAGTGGGGTTTCTCTACAAACTTAGAGTGCTGGATGTGAGTTTCAACAGCATTGTTGGCCCCATTCCTTATAGCCTTGCAGGGTTGTCTCACTTGGAGCAACTAAACCTGGGACACAACATGATGAGTGGCACTGTCCCTATGGGGGTTTGTGAGTTGCCAAACTTGGCAAACTTCACTTTCTCTTACAATTTCTTCTGTGAGGAAGAGGGCATCTGTCAGAACTTGACATCAAAGAGAATAGTGTTTGATGACAGAAGGAACTGTTTGCCAGAGAAGCCACTGCAGAGGAGCCAAAAGGAATGCAGTGCCAAACTTGAACACCCAGTTGATTGCTCTGAGCTTTGCTGTGTTGTTGGGAGCAATGTCTCTGCTGGTTCAGTGGCTGTTCCACCTGCTGCTATTCCCTCAGCAATGCCTGTATCTGCTCCTCTTCTTGCACCAAGCCACCCTTAAGCAAAATGTTTGTATTGATATGAATAGGAAAAATAAAAGTCCAAATTTGAGTTAGGAAGTGATCTTGTAGATACAAAGTTGTGTGCTAAATGTGTCTGTATTCTATTGCGTCATGCGTCTTATTCCTTGTAAAGTGTTTCATTTGACAGGAAGTGAGCGAGTTCTAGATATCTCTCGTTTTGTGGATATAATAGCTTCAAAGGAGACCAATCTTTCTTCTGGAACAACACTTTTTCTTCATCCCATTTTAGAAAATCGTGGTTCTCTCATGAAAAAACAGATTAACAGATTATTACATTCGATTAGATTCAATCTTAGTGACCTACAAATTTTGCGATGTCACTATTTTTAGCATGTTTGTTTTGTTTTTGCAATAAAATTGACAGTTCCATGTTGTATTTTTTTTTATTCTCAATGCATATGTAACAACATACTAGGAAGTCACATGATTAATCAATGTGCAATTACTCATCCACACGATCACTCGAATCATAAGCCAAATTTTGGTAGTTCATTTATGCAGAGATGAAAATGTCATTCTACTTATTACATCATTTTCTACTTGAAAATACTTGTTATTAACACCATGTTCATCCATAATGCATTAGAAATGAAAGCCTTAGTTCTATTCGTGACTTTGGCTTAGTTGCATACACTTGGGGAAACACAGGTCCTTTTTACTTACAAGTGAGGCAAATCAGAAACAAAGAAATAACAAAGGCAAAATTGTTTAATATCATTTAATCATTCTCGCCAACCATGTTCTATCAGTTTAAGGTTGCCAAAAAAACCTTTTAATCATTTGTCAAATATCTTTTGGTAGCTTTGAACCATCAAAAAGCACGATTAATCGATTAAAAAAATATTATTTAAATATTGCATTAAAATTTCAAAAACTAAGACTAATCAAATTCTGATCAAAGATTTAAAGCAAAAAAAAAAAAATCATAGGATTAGAGATTAAAAGTAGTAAATCTTCATTTTGAAAATTTACCTATTTTCGTGCTATCATATTATCTTTACATTTTGTCCCTTTTTTACTACATCAATACCTTTGGCTTAAAAAATTTTATAGTACTTTTTACAAAGAAATCATAGTTTTTATATAAATATACACAACCATGGGTGAGAAAACAAACTTGTGGCACTAACGGAGAATAAAGAGATGAACCAAAAGCACAGAATAGAAGTCAAAAGAACATCATATTGAATTTCTAATGTACAACATTATTGATACATAAACACTGAAAGAAAAAAAAAACTAAAATTATATCAATGATGCATGATACAATTGTGAGAAGTGTATTTCGGTCTTGTACTGAAGTAGAAATTTTACGTACGCAATAAGGATTCTATCCCAACCTGCGAAACAAAAGGAGAAAAGTCTGTAAAATGCAAACTTCAAAGTTAAGATGAAATGAAGCTAGTGACTACCATTGGACTAAAATAGATAAGGCAACGAGTAGAAAACTAAGAAGTAATAGCTAGTTTAAAAACAAAATTACTCATTTTAACAAAAGAAAGAGAAAAAAACATATATTTTCATGCTTTAAAAAGGAAAGAAATAGTAATGTTCATTTCATTTCAAAATTATGTAAGGAGCCATATTCATAGCATATGGAATGAGGAGGAAACATCAAACAACAGAATTGCTAAGATGTACAATTCTCTTGCATCAGAATTTTATCAGACAAAAATAAATGAAAGCACTAAGCATATTACCAAAATTATGTAGTTGGGCAGTGTGAGTTGATCCTATTGATATGAACAGTGGAAACCTCTTCAGGCAGGTGGAAGAGGGCGTCGGCATGTTGGGCACTCCATCTTTATATCCATCCATCTTTGCAAACAACCAGAGTGGAAGAAATGATCACAAGGGGTCACCTGTGGAAGAGTTAGTGCATTAGACTTGTGGTCTGTTCTGATTGTAAAGATTGATTTCAATATATAAAGGTAACACATTCACATGCCATGCAATCATTTGATCGTGGAGAAAGACCAATAGCTGTCATGCATATAACACAGTCTGTGGAGTGATTTGTATCATGAGTAAACCTCCTATAATAGCAGTATTTTTCAGGTAGAAACTGCAAATGACAAAGATAAAGCTAGATGTGAGAGAAGCATTGTAAAAAGGAAACATCCAGCTGCATTGTGATACGTGTTATTATCAATACCATGCTCATGATCAAAGAAAATGAAACAAGGTAACCAATATTATATGACAAAATTATCGAAAATAGATAATAGAGCCACCCATTTTTGAAGGATATCTAGCAAATCCTTCAAACAATCAAAGGCACATCAATTATAAGTAAAATAACTTCAGTCTAGAAAAAGAGTTAGATGATGAAATCAAATGAGTAAAAGTGGATAAAAAGAATCAAGACAGTTGGGTCCAACCTGACGAGGAATGAACCACAAAGACCCAAAATAGTGCTGAAGCAAGAGAATTGCAGCTTGAAGTCCAACAAATATAGCCAAACAAACACACCAGCTCTGATCTGGTTCTATACGCAAGAAGTTGTCAGGACAACCAAAAATATATAATGGGATTGCTAGCCGAGTAATAGTTATGCCTAATATATAATGAGGATGCAATGGCTTGCGTGAGTCACGAACAACATTGGTGATTATCTGAGGTATCCAAAAGGAGTATACAAGAAGAAGAATAAGTCTCAAATGATTGTGGAATTCATACATGAGCAGTATGCCTCCCAGTAGGATTCCATCTGCAAAAGAAGTTAAACAGTTAGGCTAGATTAGATCTGAGTCTCACTTCTTTAAACAAGGAAATCCTTGCACCAGTTGAAGTAACCGGAAATATAAACGAAGTTATTCTGCGTGCTTGAACAATAGAGTGGAATAGAACATACTCGGATATGCACATTCTAAGAATACATGACATGGGGACCTAAATAAAAATATAACCAATAAAGTACAAAAAACATAGATGACAAAAACAGAATAACTTGCATTTATTTATCCTACTGAAAAAATGACTCCGGGGCATATCATAGTGATGAGATAATTAGATCAGACAACCAAAAAAACTTTAATTAAATGTGTACTTACAGAATCGGCTGTATAAAACTGATAGTTCACGCCTCATTGCTTCCCAACCTTCACCGTTGCTCAAAGGCCTACTTGCTTTCCAGATGGCAAGGAGATATCTCATCTCAAATATTGAGAACACCACAAACTTGAAAAATGCAGCAGTCGCAAAAGCATTAAACAAGGATTCTGCATGGCAGGTAGGTAGTAACAACAATTATTCATAAGACAAGCTCAAATAAAGAAAATAATCATCCACTCAAGTCACATCTATCATAGCAATGTACAATCAAATTGAATACAAATACTATTAAAATCTTCCCTTTTGGTAACAACAAGCGTGCAACCTTCAAAGCTACTTCGTATTCCGAACTAACTGTAATCTTCATGCACTACCATGAACCAAAGATGATAGTTGATCTCTTCCCATGGCACAGATTTAAAAACTTCTACATATAATTATGAGGTGCTCTGAGAATAAGATGTTGTAATTGAACTAATACGGTTTGATTACAAGTCCATTCGGTTTGAAGGTGCAAGGAGGTAATGAAAGCATATACAGGTTTTGTGCATCCAATCACCATTGGGTTCACTGCCAAGATTGATATACATTTTTTGTGGGACGTGCACCAGTGTTTGTGTAGTGGGTGGGGGATACTCACACCAATGCATATTCACATTGCCCATAAAATGAAGCTCTAAAGCCAGCTAGGCAGAAAACAAAATTAAGCATAGAGAAAAGTATTTAACGAGCTCTTCAAATTAAAAACGATCCTTTGATATTTTATGAATCCCCAAAATTGGTACCTCAAAACTCTACAACGATACTAGAGATTTTTAAGATGACAGATAGAGAGCTGTTTGTAGAACAATCTAAATTGGTTATATGAAAATCCTTAGCACTTATTTGAAAAACTTACCAACTAGTATTCCGGCAGTCAAATGTATAAGGCAAAGATAAGCATCTACTATAGCTTGCTGACCAATCGTTAATATTGAAACCTTAGCAGCCCCCTACAAGGTATACATGAATAATATTCATTGTAATTTATAATGAAACACTGTCCAGTAGATTCTTCACTAAATCTATACCACGAAATTTCAAACAAAATTTTGAAGCAATTCCTTACAGATTGGGTGTTGCTATGCTCCATTTGCCGAATTAAAAGAAGAACTTGCAAAAATGAGATCTGGTACAAGTACATTAAGGAAATAACACAGCAATGCACAATAAAAGAGTTTAAAGATGAAAGAAAGGAAAACATACAATAACAGACAATAACGAAGTGGTAAAGTAGAAAGAAAGTTGACGACTGAAGGATACAAAAGTAACCATCAAGGTATAGTTCACTGCTTTATTATAGTAGACTTCAATGTTAATAGAAGTTGCATTTAACTGTAAAGGCGAGAAGCAGTCCCCATCATCGTCCACAGACGGACTCTCCACTAACCCTACTAGCTGAAAAGAATCACGCTCCCCTTCTATAATAAAGCATAAAAAGCCTTGGTAAATCATATGATAAAAAACAATATTTTGAACCGCAGTAAGATTGCACTCAATGAACTTTGAAAAAAGTGAGTCATAATTCATCTTTAAATTCTTCTGCATTAACAATCAATATTCATTAATAATCAGCAATTGTGATATTAAATGTGCTCAGAAGTTTCCCATTGACATTACACCATGGTTATTCAAGCCAATGTTTTAAATCCCGGATAGTAGTGCATAGCAGACTGCTCCAAAATGCTATAACGAGATAAAACATAGCAGGATAACAGTTATTTTGAATTTCTTCTATAGTTTACACATTTATTATTATATATATATATAAATTTCAAAAATGATAGAAATTACTCAAAATTTATAATAAATAACTACCAAAAGTCAACTGTGTCAAAAACAAAACATACAACCAAAAACCAACAAAAGTCAAATACCAGTGTCCTAGATTGGAATTATAAGTCATCATCTTCTAAATTCAAGTCTTTTATCATTTTCGCAGTTGTTACATCTGCAGATTTCAATTTTAGAAATTAAAATCCCAAAAAATAGCTGTCCAGAAAAGCCATAATGTCTCTGTTCTAAGGTATTTTGTGGAATCAACAAATAGCATCACTGCAGTGCCTGCTAAAGCTGCTATACAACATGCTATATGGTCTGTTACAACCACTACACAAAATTGTTACACTACAGCAGCCTCTTTAGAGGGCAAGGGCCCTTCCACATAGCTACACCGCAGTAGCTGCTCTATAGCATACTTTTTAAAACCGATCAAGTTTCAAATTTTTATCTAAATATGTCACTTGAGATTGAAAAGAAATAATTCTTGAGGGCTTAATTGATCATTCTCATATTATTTATAAAATAAATTGATGCAAAAGTACATGATAATTAGGATAACTTTATTAGACACAATCTAATCATGATAATAAGGTAACCCTAGACACAATATAATCATGATAAATAGGGTAACCTTGACCACAATATAATCATGATAAATAGGGTAATCCTAAACCACACAATATAATCATGATAAATAGGGTAAATATTCTAACACTCCCCCTCAAGCTGGAGCATACAAATTGTATGTGCCAAGCTTGGAATAAATAAACTCAATCCAACAAAATCAACTTGTCTAAAATGTCGAGACAATAGACGTGTAACTTTGGCTCCGAACAAGATGCACATATGCTTCAGACCATCGAGAGTATAAACCAAATTGGACTCACAAACTAGCGTAACCAATAATAAGCTTATAGAAAATAATATTGGACAACCACGAAACTTCATCTAGCACCATGAACCTTCAAGTAGGATGACTTTGACAAGGTTGATTTCCATCAAAAGTGAATGACGAGTGGTAGACAGCGACAAACTGCAGAAACTGGATTGCAATCAAGTAAGGATGGGGCCTGCATGACTAAAAGCAACAAACTGCAGAGACTGGATTCCATCGAGAAAGGATGGGACTTGCAGTGGCTAAAAGAAACCAAACTACAGGGACTAAACTGCCATCAAGTAAGGATGGGGCTGTAGTGTAATGGCTAAGAGTGACAAACTACAGGATTAAATTGCCATAAGTGACTGATGGGGCCTGTAGTGGTTGAAAGCGACCAAACTGCAGGGACTAAACTGCCATCAAGTAAGGATGGGGCATGTAGTGGCTAAAAGCGACAAACTACAGGGATTAAATTGCCATCATTGACTGATGGGGCCTGCAGTGGTTGAAAGCGACAAAACTGCAGAGACTGCCATCACTGACTGATGGAGGCATGTAGGGACTGCCATTACTGACTGATGGGGCATGCAGTGGCTGGAAACATATTGCAGTGGATGGAAACATACTCCTCCTCACAGCAAACGATGGAAATGACGACGCGCCGAGACAAATCGTGAAGGTACAAGATCATTATGGTCTCCTTTATTCATCAAAGCATCCAAAAATAGATCTCACAAGGGACTGGTGAAATTGTTTGACTAAGATTCTGAATCTTGCTAGAAATAGACTCCCCTCATGCCATGAGGAACCTTCAACCTATGACTTTGGTTTTGAAATTCCTTGTGTTAACAAGCTAATAGCACTGACTGTCCTTGGAGACTTGTAAATAAATAACACAAGCCATTAGAAACATCACAACTGCTACAATATGTAAAGCTAAACACACATTATGAAAGATGCTAAGGAACAATGTTGAAACAAAGAATTCTTTTTTCTTTTGGTCCAGCGAGATGAACGGTAGTGTCGCGATATGATTCTGACATCGGAAGCTGATCAAAGAGAAGTCGTCCGTGACGGTGCGTGTGGAGGAGAATGAGGTACGACAACAAGGATGGGTCGCGTTCCTCGATGCTCACAAAACTCCTAACTTCGCCAGAGAAAACGAGACGGCAGCGGTGGCGGAGGTAGAACAGATGTGTCGTGCGTGGTGGTGCTTGGATGGGAACTAGCCATCGACACAGGCAGGGTTGACCATCGCTCAAGGAGGCGATCCAGATCCATTGGTCACCGGACTAAACTATGGCAGCGGCCGATGGCGGGCATTAGCGGACAACGTCAGAATGACAGGAAATAGAGGTTGATGGTGACAAACTTATGTAGATAGCTCCTCACAGTGGAAAAATAGTGCCAAGTGGACAACGGCAAACGACGCAGGCAACGGCAAACGGCGTTAGACAACGACAAACAGCACAAAACAGCACCAAACAGTGTCAGACAGGTGCGGACAGCAACTAGGGTTTGGAGACTAGATAGAAACCAGAACAAGACTGCTCATTTAGGTATTCAAGAAAAGATGATATTTTTAAGGCCGCTGGTGGCGGCACTGGCCACCGGCGGCAGCAAAGACAGAGTAGGAAGAGACTCAGACAACCTGCTTTGATACCAACTTGAGATTGAAAAGAAATAATTCTTGACGGCTTAATTGATCCCTCTCATAATCTTCTATTTATAAAAATAAATTGATACAAGAGTACATGATAATTAGGGTAACTTTATTACACACAATATAATCATGATAAATAAGGTAACCCCAGACACAATATAATCATGATAAATAGGATAACCTTAGACACAATATAATCATGATAAATAGGGTAACCCTAGACACAATATAATCATGATAAATAGGGTAAATATTTTAACAATGTCATTTTATTAGAAACAGGAGAGAGAATACGAGAAGAGGATAGCTCATCTGTCAGCACAAGATAATAAAGAACTAAAGGAAACCCATTGAGAAGAAATCTTTAACGTTTATGCATATCTGACTGAAAAGAATCCTTCACAAAATGGGAAGAACAACAAAAGAAAGGTTAAAATCAACCTTGTCATGCAGCCAGTTTAAAGATATGTATGTATCCTAAAAGTTACCACAATCTGTGACAACTAGATACATACGTGAAATGCAAATAATAATGCTTCATTTGATATTTTTAAGACCTTTTGTCTCTTGATTTCGTTTATTCTTATTACCCAAGCCTTCCAAGACATTGAATTACATTAATTCCTACAAAATTAAACCCCCACAAAAATTAAAACCATAAAGCTTCTCACAGAAGGTTCAAATCGTAATGTGAAAACTGGAGAAAAAGATTCTGTATGCATATGCTAAATAATAGAGAACCCTAGAGCAATGACACAGAGAAAGAGTAAATTTGAAATTAAAAAATAAAACTGGAAAATTCAAGTGATATAGCACTGTATATCAGGATCTTGAACCGATTTTGTATCTGCATTTTTCTTTTAAATTTGAAATTCAAATAAATATTCTAGGAGATTACTGTAGTTAAAATCAAATTATTCAAATGTGGTCTGATTTCATTCTCCTTTATTCTAGAATATTTGGGTAGTTAAGATCAAAATTAGATTATCCTAAATTGCTATATCAATATCATTAGTGTTTATGCATCAAAAGTAGAAAAGAAGTTTTAGAATGATTTTGAAGGATTGGCTCAAGACGTTCAACAAGAGAAAAACAATATCGTAGGCAGGGATCTAAATGAGTATGTTGGTAGTTAGGTAAGGGGATTTATAGAAGATCATGGTAATTTTGGTTCTTAAGATCTAAATGAGGAAGAAGAGTGGTTAGTCTATTCTTGATGTTGCAATGTCATACGATTTCAAGATTATGCACACTTGTTTTCAAAAGTAGGAGGAACTTGTACTAACTTAGAAGTGTGGAATCTCAAGTGTACATCCCAAGCCCAAATCTTGGGGCCTAGAACCAACCTATATGAAGTACCCAACTCCTCCAAAAACAGATCCCGACATACATGAGCAGATTCCCCAAGATTATATACATATATCATTATCTTTTATTTGTTAAAGCCAATATCTCTAGGCTCAATAGCTCTATATATACCACAAAGTATTCAAGAAGTATCCACTCTTTCTTTCATATTCTCTCCACTCATTATCATTACACAGATCTTCACTCTCTTAGTGACATAAGCAATGAAAATTTTTTTGCACGTGGATCTCCTCTTTGATCACACTTGGAGCTTGGCTCGGACTACTCACCAGTAGCAGCCCGACACTCAAGAGTGACGATTCCTCCTCAAAGACTATTTGATACATTTTGGTAAGAACATCAAGGTTACAAAAAAGATTTCCTTTTGGTAAGGACCTTTGAGATAATAGAGCTTGCAAGAATGGCAAGGTGGTCCTAGGAAAATCTTACAAAAAAACAGAGTCTTGATCATTGATGTTTGTTTTAAAATCCATGAATAGAAAACCCAATAAGTTTCAAATACAAGAATCATGTGGTGGCAAGGTGATAAACCTGTGACTTCTTAAGTAATTTTGGGAGGGAGATAATTAGGAATCACAAGTTAGTGCTTAACCTCACTGGAAATGAGACGTCTAAGAAAGTTAAGAACGTTGATAATGAACCTTAATCTGTGGTTGAGTGAAAATGTTCAAGAAAAGGAAAGAGACAAAACAGGTTGTTTTTTAAGACCTTACACAGGAAAATAACACTGAAAATTGGAATGTTCCAAATATATAGGCTAACTAATCAATTCAAAACTAGTTTGCAAAAAATATGCTAATAATTTTCTATCTTAACACTAATTACAGAAAATAATTCTGAATAAACCTGTACAAAAACAGAATAAGGAAACAAATATCTAATGTTACAACAACAATTAGTGAAATTTGGAGGGAAAGGCAAATGAAATATAACATTTAATGTATCTATAAAAACAGCATAAACAAAAAGGAACAAAGAATATTCATCCGCTGAGAGAACTCAAGTACCATGTTTTGACAATGACAGGCGTGAAACCTGTGCAGCTATTTCTACATTGCAATGTTTCTCCATTCCGTGCAATGGAGCTGCAATAAGGGAAAAACATAAGCATAGAAAGTTTTAGTAGGTTATATGAGAAAAACCATCAAGGTTGTTGGGAGAGGGGATCTCTTTAAAATATACTGGTGAAATAGACAAATTACAATGTTTCCTTCTCCACATCTTTTGTCGTGAAGATTCTTGGAATACTTGAGATGAGAAAACTCCAAGCTGTATTCAGAAAGCCATGTATAACAATTAAGTACTCATAATGCTCATTATACTCCCAAAAGTAACAAATATGGTCATGTTTACATGACAATCATAGATGCCATCCTTATGATCTTATCTTATCTTAGAGAGAAACAAAGAGATGTAGTACAGAAATATTATCCTCTTTATTACTGAAGTATGGTATACAAATGAGTCCTCTCTTTTCTCACAAGGAACAAACCCTGTTACAACAAAGTAAACTATTCACTGAATCTAACTACCCTAGAAAGGGTCTATTTATACCTTCTCTCCTTAACTGTCTTAACAGAAATAACAGACACAATAATATCCGTTCAGAACCCCTATCATATATTACTGGACTTTCTTTCTCCTTTTATATACTACCAGAGCTTTTGGGTCAGGTCATGGCTGACCCTCATCCTCTTTTCGGTTATGTAACTTATGCTGACATCCCAGTCTTACTCAACATGATTTTGAGATATATAAAGGGATTATAACATTGAGAAATTTTTACATACACAGTTTTAACATTTAAAGCTACAAGAATGCACTTATTGTTTATTCCTTCCGTAGTTTTTGTCCACCCCAGCGTATAGACATGACTTAGGATTATAATTCTAATGCACATAAAAAATTCCTTTCCTTATAATAGATGAACTTGTGATGTCAAATAAAATTAAACCCATGATAAGGCCAAGACAGATTTGGATCATACCATCCTTAAATTTCAGGAGTCTATCAAATGTCAATTATACAGAATAATAAACATTTTCTAGTGAAAAAAAGACCCAGTACCAGATGATATGGATTTGACAAAATATATTCTCCCTCCGGATTTAGTCCCCCATCTTTACCACTACAATAAGAAAATAATAAAGAAACTATTCAACACATTTAAATATTGTAGGCTTAGCACCACTATTTGAATTGTAAATTAATTTTGATTAACAAATAAAATACAACTCAACAAATAACACACCTATAAAAAACTTATTCATGATTAAAGGCTAAACTAGGAAGAAAATAAATTTTAAAAATTTTAAAAATCATGATAGCTGAGCCAACTTCTCTTCAAATTAAATGGTTATACAGACAAAAGTAATGCAAGGTCAAAAAATAAGGTTAAATCAAAACTATTCCATAATCTCCACCATTAGAAAACAAAATGTGTTAGATTTTAAGTTCAGGGTGCTGATAGCTTCTACAAGTCAAAATGGATTTCGCAGATTGCATGGAATTGAATTCAAAACTGCCTATAGATAGCTTTGAAATATGAGGCATGTGTCCCAAGTAATACTAATGAAGTACTAAAGCACTAAACAAAAGATGAGTTTTTCTTGATTAATCTATTGTTTCACTACCAGTTTATCACAATCAGTTTTAGGCTAAACTGATGTTCTGAAGTACCAGTCTTTACTGTGTTTTTGATGCAGAATTAGGAACTTTTTACTTAATTACCCATTTTTTCATTATTAAATACCAATTCCCTGTAGCAAATAAACATTACTGATTTAGCTAGAAAAGGAAGGTATAATTTATCAGATAGCAACTTGCAAAATATTATGAATAAAAACATTTAGCCCAGGAAAAAAAATAGATCATAGACACAATGCCGTAGATATCTAAATCCAATAAGGTAGCATTATAGATTGAGCTCCATAACATATTGACATTCACCTGTTGGCTACCATTCGAAGCTGCCTATAAGGCCATATATATACACCTTCTACTCTGATTTGAGCACCACCAACATTGTATTCATTGTCAAATACATCATGGAATATGACTACCCCCTGATAAATAGCATAAAAAGTAGAAATGATCAGCGAGAATTTCACATGACATCTAAACATCATCAATACAAAAATATAACATCATCAATACAAAAATATATTACTGTTTAGTGCAACAAAAGGGTAATGTATTTGGTTTCATAATCTCAAAAATATGGTGTTCAACCTTAGATTAAATTATGATAAATGAGTGCTCGTGCTCTAGTGTATTGAAAAATTGATATTCAGAATATTCACTTTTATGGATGAACAAATAATTTATTAAGAAAGAAAAGAGAAAGACAACCTCAAGAGGATACAAATTTTCAGTAATAACAGAAAACTGCACAGAGAAAGAAACAAAATAGAAAAGAGACTAAGCATGAAACATGCAGCAGATAAAGCTCTCTAAATATTGCCAAAGACATCCCCCTTAAAGACCTTTCAGATAACCTCACAAAAAAACTGAGCAACCAACCCTGTCAGAAATGAAACCCAAAAGGTAACACTTGACTAACAAAAATCCTCTACAACCAAAATACACATGATTTAATGACAGTGACTGCCAGTATACAAAATATAATTGTCTTAAAAACTGAACTTTAAGTCTAACTCAATATTATAAAACTATCTTTTTAAGTCAAGTTTGCACCCACATATATATATATATATATATATATATATTATAATTTGATAATATCTCTAGTCGATATATGATCTCTAACAGACCCCTCAACATATCTAGAACTTATAGCTGATTCTAGCAGACTCTTGAGGTCTTTAGAGACGTGATTTCATGCCATCATACAAAAGCATTTATTACACTGAACAAGGCCCCGTCAGATGAGTTTGAAATATTTATTCATTTACAAAAAATCCCTACTATTCATTGCATACTTAGGGTTCGATTAGTAGGGTTATTTACCTGCTAGGAATCTTATTATGTTTGAAGTTTTAGTAGGCTCTATTGGTATTAGTACAATGCGTAACACTAAATTGCAAATTATCTTGAGCTAAATTGGGATGGAGTAATGTAACCATCAAGGAAAAACATAATGAAAAGAGAGATTTTGATTAATTCTTTAGCATATCAAGAGGACAGAACTGAAAGGAACCTTTGATCCCCTTGATATTTTAGATAATTATTCACATTATTAACCTAAGTGAATACAATTTAAACACTTAAGGTAAAGAACCTAAAAGCTTCTTCATTAGAAGTTGATGTTATTTTAAATATACGAGAACAAATGCAGAACCGTATCACAACTGAAGCTGACTTCCTTCTGAATCTATTTATTGTAAATAGGGGATTATTAGGATATAAATATCCTAGTATCTCTATAGTAATTAGGAAAAAATATCCTTAGAATCTTTATATTCATTCTATCAGATTTTATTCCCCTTCTTAAGAGAGTGTGATTGCTACAAATAGAGGAGTTGACAATGTAATTAGAATGATTGTTATTAATATTAATAATATATTTCTTTATTCCCTCTCATTATTCAAGTCTATCCATATAATTCAACAACTCACCTGCACATAATGTACACCAGTTATCTTTGTTGGCACACTAACTAATTCAATTACAGAATTTCCATTTATTTTTCTGATGTCTGGAAATCTTGTAGAACCATTTGTTGTATCTAAAAACTTCCAAGTCCCTGCATTCAAAGATGACAACATAGACATATCATCACACTGTAACAATACCAGCTTGTAAACTCATTTCAAAACAAATTAGTGAACAATGTTTATTATAAATATGCGCTCATTCATATTTTAATAAATTGAATAAAAGTCCTTTTAAAACATTATTAGGCCAAATGTCATAGGTTTAGTTGGTCCATGGGAGCAAAGTTTCCAATTTTATAAACAGATGATCTTTGACATTATATTCCGTCCAGTGGTAGTAAACTAAGAATGTTTATGTACTTAACCAAGAAGTTAAGAAGCATAGTCATAGGATCCAATAGCAAGATATGAGACTTCAGTCTCATTTTGAAAGTATGAGATTCTAGTGTGGGGCTTTTAAGCCTTGGGTTCTCCAACTAAAATGGCTAGTCTTTTGTGGTGTGGTTCTCCAAAGATTGCTATCACAGTCCTCAATAAAGACAAATTGATCCACAAAAATCATAAAACTTGAAGTGATTAAAAAATTCAAGTAGGGATAGAAAAAATTATTTTCCAATCATGTATCCTCCAAATAGACACTCACCTGCAAAAGCTAGCTCATGAGATGAGGATTCTCTAAACCTTTATAAGCTCAACTTTGACCATATGTACAGTTGATATGAGATCTCAACACACATAGGATTGAACACCTAGAGCATGGAAGGGAGGATATAGAAGTAGCCTTTCTTATGCTTAAATATGATTATAGTCCATATACATTTTATGCTTTTCACCCCTATAATTTATTTCTTGTTGTTTTAGTCCGTTTATAATTTTATTATATGGTTTTATTCCTCTAACTGTTGAACAATGACATGTCGATTGGAGAACAAGGAGGATGTTTCTTAAATAATAACGATTATAATGAATATATTCTAATATAAGAGGAACTGATATCAGAAGTTTATAATTTTAGAAATACTAAACAAAATTTTTTATGGACCAAAACCATGGGAAAAGAATTATAACTAAAATGACAAAACAGATATATTATAGGGATTAGAAACATATTGAAGTATTTTTTATATATATTGCATGCGAAAACCATGGGGCTAATAGATTTCAGGATAGTTAAAGGTATCTCAATATCATATCTTCGATACGTTTTGATACCGTCTTGAATTTGAACTAACATAGCTCAACTCCAGAGCTAGCTTGTGAGGCAAGTCTAGTCCAAGCATTTATTAAGTCTACTCTGGTCATATCTAATAAAGTCAATGTGGGATCTCAAACAGTAGAAACTCAACAGTCAAACACATGCAATTATGCAACTAATTACATCAAACATTTGTATAACAAACCAAAACCATACCCCACTGTGGTCAATCTAAACATACATTTATGTAAGTAAAGAATACCAACCTCTGTAAGTTCCAGTTATGTTCCATTGTGAAAATGGACCTAAGTCACTTTCGTCTTTTCTCGTAAAAACCCACTGAAAGAAGCAATGTCAATACAAGTAAACGAATGTATTTAACACAAGCATTAAAATATTAATTTATCACTGAAAAGAATGTTTAGTTTTTAATGAGAAACCTTGTTGGTTTGTGGACCTGTGGTAAAATGATAGTTCTACGAGAAATGTTAAGGGGCTTACAACAACACGCCACAACTATAATAAATGACTCATTACAATAAACTATTGTAAAATATCCAATTTGTTTCTCATTTGATGAATCAATATGTTTCATTTATTTCTAAATACAAGTTCAGCAAATGTATACAAAGAATTGATACCGCATCAAGGCATTCTAAACATATTAACTTCAAACTCAACTCAACTCGTGCAAATGCCTTCGGCCCTTTATAAAAACCACGTTTTTTATCTCACTCAAGCCAGACATTAAACATCAAAATTTATGTTTCCACTTTCACAACAGGCAAAAATAAAAAGACAAATAAAAGTAGGCACCTAACCTAAGCAACCCCTCTAAGCTCATTAATTCAAAACTAAACTTGAAGCAAGAAATGATCAGTTATAAGGCCAAAACAAAGCATACAAAATTTAGGTTCAATTTGACAGTCAACCTCAACAATTCCCACCCCAAAACACAATAAAGGAGCTAATTCTAAACCCAATCGCAACAAAGAAACCAAAAAACAATACAAAACAACAAACATACCTCATCACCCCAGGAATTGGTTTTATCCCTTAAGGGTCTCAAACCCGCCACAGGACTCAGAAACAACAAAAAAACCAACCACCCACATGAAATTCTCAACAAAATCCTCACTTCCCTCCTCTCAAGTTCCAACCTTTGAAAGTCAACCTCAACCATGTCAAACCCCAAACACACCATACCACACAGAAACTACAATTTGGACAGCCCAGTTCCCAGTTGTGGCAACTGATCACAGGGAATCAAAAAGAAAAATCCAAAACCCATCACAGGAAATCGCTTATGAAAGCCAAAGGGTTGCTTCAAAAGGAGTCAAAGGAACGAATCGCTCGCCGGGTCACAACAACGAGTCCCACCAGTGAGAGGTTGATTCAGATAAGAGAGTGGAGACAGTGAAAGGCCAACGACTTGGAAACACAATTTGGCTTCACCAGCAAGGTCTGCCACCAAATGAATCCAACTTTGCTCTAATTAAAAATGGAAAATTATAGATTAAGAGAATATAATATGGTTTTGGATTTGATGGAGAAGAAGAGAGTTGGACTAGAAGCCGTGGTTGACGAAGTTGGGTGTAATGTACTATGGTCCATGGAGTAGGCTGCGGTTTGCTACAAAGGAAAATCTACACGCGCCCTGAGGGAGGTGTTCGCACGTGCCAGGCACACTTTTTTTTCCTTGAAATTTTCTTTAGGATGATAGAAACGAAGTTGATAGGTGAAAGAAGTGAAAAATACGACAAAGACATATTTTGTTTGGTGGAAAATAAATAAAATATTAATTTTTGAAACTATTTTTATGAAAATAAGAGAGCAAGAAGTATTATTCTATTTAATTGAATTTAATTATATATTTGTTTTTTTATTTAATTATTATCTACCATTTTAAAATTAATTAATTTTGATTTTAATTCTTATAAACAATTCTTGTTGAAATTGTAAAATAATTGAATTTTAAATTTCGTCTCTTTAAAACCTATTAGTTTAACTTTGTTTCTCAATAAATCAAAATTATTTTAAATACATTTTAAGATAGATAAATAATATTTATTTTGAGAATTTTTTAAGAAATTGAGCTGTTAAATAAATATTAAAAAATGCACTAGCTTAAGCAATTGATCTTTTGCAAATAATTGAAAAAGTGTATAAAAAAATAATAATAGTAATAGTAATAGAAGTAAAAAAGTAATATAGTCCATTTAAGTGGAAAACAATAAAAATACAAAACGAAAATAAAAATTTATTAATTTTATATAAATTAAAAGCATATTTTAATTTTTTTTTAATATTAATATTATTAGTTGCTTATTATCAATATTATTATTAGAGTTAAATATGTTTTTAAATGTAAAATTGAAATCCGTTTTGTTTTTTTAATATATTTTAGTCTTAAGCTTTGTAAACAATTAATATAATCATTTTAATTAATCATATTGACTTTTTTTACTTATTAAATTATATTTTAAATTAATATTTAAGTTAGAATATGTTAAATGACATGAATAGTTCACATATTAGTTTAAAATTATTAGATTAAAATAATTATATTTAATTATTTTTTAAGTTTATGAGTCAAAATATTTTAAAATTTGATATATAAATAAATTTCAATTTTATATTCAAATTTAAAAATTAAAAATATATTTAATTATTATTATTATTATTATTATTTAGCAGTATAGCATCGGGTAAATTCTTTTCATTTCGACAAAAGGCAAATGAGAGAGGAATTTATGTAGAACATGTGTTACTTTTTAAGAGTTCTATATTCTACTAGGATCATTTATGATAATAAAAAATGAGAACAAATGGTAAGAAATAAGTTTTTGTTTCTAAATTTTTTTTATGTGGTCTTTGACCTTATATTTTTACATTGATAAATTCAGTCATTTAATCTTTGAAAATATGTAATTTAAATGTTTTTTTATATTCAAATGAAATGTGCAATGATAGTGTTTGACAATCAACAAAGTTGGTAAAAAAAAAAAAAAGGCTAAATTTACTTATTCTTCAGAAACCAAAATTATTTTTTTCCAAAATAAAAACTTTAGTATGCTTACTAGGAGGTTGTGTTGTGATAATGTATTCTCAAACATTGCTTTTTCTAAAAGAAAAAAGGGTTAAATATGTTTTTAGTCCCTAAACTATTGGCCGTTTCTGGTTTTCGTCCCTCTTCCAAAGTAAGATACAATTTGGTCCTCATTCTTTAGAAAAACGTTCGTTTTAGTCGTCAAAATTTTGTTTTTAGTCCTCGTTTTAGTCCTCAAAACGTTCGTTTTTTCGACTAAAACGAACGTTTTTTAAAGATTGAGGACTAAATTGTACCTTACTTTGGAAGAGGGACGAAAACCAGAAACGGTCAATAGTTTAGGGACTAAAAACATATTTAACCCAAGCAAAAATTAGGCTCTGATATTTAAATTCTTTGTATTTTCGTGGAAAGTGGTGGGTTTCTCATATTCTTATGAAAATCAAAGTTTGTTTCTTCAACTATGATGCCTACTACACTGTTCTACCCTTTTTCACTTTTATTTTTTTTTTCAAATCACATTTATTTGTTTTTTAATATATTTTTTGTTTTATATTTATTTAAAAATTATTTACTATTTTTAAAAAAATAAAATTAAAATAAAGATTTTACTTTTGAATTAGTATTTGTATTTAATGTAATTTAGAAACAACTAATAACAAGATTTTAGTATAAAATAAATGAAAATGTTGAAAACTCGAGAAAATAGAAATTTAATAAAGTAATAATTAATTTTGAAGTTTAAGGACAGCTAAATGAGTATTTATTTGGGAGAGTTAATGTCATAAGTTAGTTTCTATTTTGTTTTTTCTCAATTTGTGATGAGATATTATTATCATTATTGTTTTTGTTTTTATTTTTATCTTTATCTCAAATTAGACTTATGGGAAGGTATTGTCGCCCACAACAATCCATAGATGATATTTGATTGTATGTTGAAGGTGATGTTATTGTAGAAGTTACAATCATATTTGATGTGGTTGAAAAAAAGAATTGTTTGGGATGAAAAACTATGGTGTAAAAAAGAACTGCTTGGTATGAAGCTTGTGTTGATCACATATTCCAAACATTAGAGATGGTTGAAAATTATATTAACCTACATATTATTGTGGAGTTTGATGGAAGTTGGAAGAAAATCCAACATGTTTATAAAAATGTTGTGATTGAGATTGTTGTGTCTCATATAAGGTGTCATGATGCTGAAAAAAATAAGTGTTAATTGAGTGGGAATAAACAAATGATTAAATGTATTTGTAAATGAACTAACATTGTAACCAAATAATGGTTGATGTTATATGTGAGATGTGATGTCATGAAAATAACCATTTTCATTAAATTCATTTTCTTGAATTAAATAATTATGTCAATCATGTCACATTATTATCCATTTTTTTATAATATTTTGTGGTGCTAAGAATGGATTGCAGAAAGCTAAATTGTTTGCATAAATCAATAAGGTTGATGAAACTCTATTATGCTAAACATGTGAAAGAAACAATTCTCCTACTTACAAGAGAAACATCAATGTTTACCAAACATATCACGGCATTTTTGCAATAGGAGTCCACAAAAATTGGAAAAACAATTGTAATTGATATAAGTAATAAACAACATGTAGGTTTGAAAAAAAAAATGTAATTTTGAGGTGATTAAAAACAACCTTCTCACTGGTAAAAACCCAGACCTGTCTTTAGTAGTAAATAACTTAAATGTTGGAGAAATGCATGTAATGTGATCCCAAACCATGTCTCCCAACCTTAATTTTTTTTGGGTTAAATATGTTTTTAGTCCCTAAACTATTGGCCGTTTCTGGTTTTCGTCCCTCTTTCAAAATAAGGTACAATTTGATCCTCATTCTTTTCAAAATTTTGGTTTTAGTCATCGAAAACTAACACCGTTAAAAATGTGGTAGTTTTCGAGGTTAGTTTTTGAGGACTAAAACTAGAGTTTCGAAAAGAATAAGGACCAAATTGTACCTTATTTTGAAAGAGGGATGAAAACCAGAAACGGCCAATAGTTTAGGGACTAAAAACATATTTAACCCTTTTTTTTAAAGAAATCAAGTTGATCTAAAGCTCGATAAAAAAATTCCAATAAAATTAAGTTGAAATTGTAATTTAGAACTTGCCAATAACAAAAAGATACATCAAATAAACTTTGTTGACTGAAGTAATTTTTATCCGGGTTAAGTAAAGTCCTTAATGAAAGGGTTAAATGCTTACTTCGTCCTCATGTTAACAGATGAATTTCTGTTTAGTACCCAGTTTTAAAAATGAAGACATTGTTTCCCTATGTTATGAAAAGTGTATGGATAAGGTCTTGTCCGTTAAGTTGATAGCAACAACATTAAGTCCATGCTGATGTAGCCTTACTTTTTCTCTTCTCTTCTCTCCTATCCAGCTTTTTCTCTCTCTTGTTCAGCTTTTTCTCTCTCTCTCTCTCTTGTCATGTGTCTTCACTTCCACACTCGCTCTCTGCTCCTCTCGCATCCTTTCAACTTCAATCACTCCGCTCTCATTCTTTCCAATTTGTCAGGTTACTCAAAACTCTAATGAAAATTCGCCTAAGTCAAAGAATACATGTTTTTGATTTGGTTCGTGATACTGAGATGTGAAAGATCTCATTTTAGTTTGAATTGGGTGTTAAACTGAAAAATCTGAAAGAAAAAAAAAAGTGATTGATTGATCCAAAACTAGGTAAGATGGGAATCGGAAAGAAAAGGGACGATTGGATTGCAGCGAAAGCAGGTCCCTTGTGCACCTGTGCATGATGCCTTTGATTCACCTCTGTCTTCTTTTACTATGGAAATATGATCCAAAACGATGTCATTGCAGCCTACATACGGATCGCAACTCAGTTCCACTGCACTATCACCACCGGTTGTTCCCTTCACGTTCTGGAAACTCACGTCACTTATTTTCACTGCACTTATCCCGTCAACCAGTCCCAAATAATTTTGGTTTATAATCACCGGCCGCATCACTCCCACATCAGTAATTGTATGTAAATCAGCCCCTTTGGGCGCTTGTTTGAAACTGTAAATTTCTCAAACGCAATAATTGTCAAACCTTAACTTATTAACCATTGATAACTATCATGAAAACTTAAGTGATGAGGGAAGATTCAGGTCCATAAGTTAATCTCGGGGTTACCCCTTCACCATCCAACCAACTGCTATCAGAAAACACAAGGTCACCTTCAAAATCTAATTCATGGCACAAAGACTCCTTCTCACTCTCATTGGTGTCGTTGTAGATCAACTTAAGAGCCCGCACAACTTCACCCATAAAAGGCCTTTGAGTGACCTCCGGGTGGACACACAAGGAAGCAATAGCCGCTATCTTTGCCATCTCATTGAACTCATACTTTCCAGCCAAAAATGGATCCACCACCTTTTCTAAACCTTCCCTATATCTCAACAGTGGTCGAGCCCACGTTACAAGATTATCCTCTCCTTGAGGTTGAGACATGTCCACTGGTTTTCTGCCTGTTATAAGCTCAAGCAGCACAACACCATATTTTGCATAGTCAGCAATGGATGAAAGAATATCAATCTCATGAAGGGCAGCCTGAACAAACTCGGTGGCACTTTTCTAGAT